TTCCCCCTCCCCCTCCCCTCCCCCTCCCCTCCCCCTCCCCTCCCCTTCCCCCTCCCCCTCCCCCTCCCCCTCCCCCTCTCCTTTTCCCTCTCCCTCTCCCTCTCCCCCCTCTCTTTAAAAACCAATAAAAAATCTTTTTTTGAATGTCACATTCAACTTTGTAAAAAACATAGCTATTGGCCTGGTATGATGGCTCAGTTGGTTGGAGCATCATCCCACACACCAAAAGGTTGCAGGTTCAGTTCCCAGCCAGGGCACATACTGGGTTGCGGGTTCAATCCCTGATGGGAGCGCATAAGGGAGCCAACTGATTGATGTTTTTTTTCTCACATCAATGTTTCTTTCTCTCTCTCTCTCTCCCCCTTCCTCTTTCTCGAAAAATCAATCAAAAACATATCCTCAGGTGAGGATAAAAAAAAAAGTTTAAAAAAAAACGACAGCCATTGTAAAAATGAGTTACATTTCATGTCATATTTAATGGTTTAAATGAATAATTGAATAATTGGAAGAGAAACTATTAACTGCAATATACAAGCCCATTCTGCTACAGTATGTGGGTTTTATCATAAACATATCAATAATGTTGTAAATTTTACACTTCAAAATATTTATTATTCATGATACTTTATTTTTTTTTTATTTTTTTTAATATATTTTTATTGATTTTTTACAGAGAGGAAGGGAGAGGGATAGAGAGTTAGAAACATCGATGAGAGAGAAACATCGATCAGCTGCCTCCTGCACATCTCCTACTGGGGATGTGCCTGCAACCCAGGTACATGCCCTTGACCGGAATCGAACCTGGGACCTTTCAGTCCGCAGGCCGATGCTCTATCCACTGAGCCAAACTGGTCAGGGCTATTCATGATACTTTACAATCAACTCCATGTAATAATTTATGCACAAAGAAATGCATCCATTTTATCTGTTTCATATAATGAGTTTTGACAAACGTATATACCACAATCATTTGAATAGACATTTATATTACTCCAAAAGGATTCCTGTGTCTGTTCCCAGTCAGTTCTATCCACACACATACCCCCAGTGCCAGGCAGCAACTTTTCTCTTTTTTGTCATTGTAGATTTTCCTTTTGTAGAGTTTCATATAAATGTAATCATTCACTATGCAATCTTTTGTGTCTGTCTTCTTTGGCTCAGCTAAAGTATCTGAGATTCATTCATATTGTGTGTACAGTAGTGAGTTCTTTTCCATTGCTGAATAATATTCCATGAGTGAGTACACTACAATTTGTTTATCCGCTCGCATGTTGATGGATTATTTTCAGGGGTTACTATGAATAAAACTGCTGTGAACATTTGTGTCCAAGTCTTTGTGTGGACCTATTTTCCTTCTCTTGAATAAAGACCTAGGAATGAAATTTCTGGGTCATATTCAAGTGTATGTTGATATTTTTAAGAAATTGTCAAATCCTTTTCCCAAAGTTGTATCTCTTTTGCCATGTATGAGAATGCCAATTGCTCTACATCCTTGCCAACATTTAAAAATATTAGATGTAGTGATATTTCGTGTGTTTAATTTGCATTTCTAATGACTAATAAGACTGAGCATCTTTGCATGTGCTATTATTTCTATATCTTCTCTGTGAAGTGTCTATTGCAATCTTTTGCTCACTTAAAAATACCAGGTTGTTGTATTATTGAGTTGTAAGGATTCTTTATATATAGTAAGTATTCTGGATACAAGTTCCTTATCAGATACATTGTGAATATTTTCACTTTTTTTTATAAAATATATTTTTTATTGATTTTTTACAGAGAGGAAGGGAGAGGAATAGAGAGTTAGAAACATCAATCAGCTGCCTCCTGCACACCCCCTACCGGGGATGTGCCTGCAACCAAGGTACATGCCCTAGGCGGGAATCGAACCTGGGACCATTCAGTTCGCAGGCCAACGCTCTATCCACTGAGCTAAACCGGTCAGGGCTATTTTCACTTTTTAAATGGTGTCATTGGAATAACAGAAGTTTTACATTTTGATGAAGTTCCATCTGTCTTTTCTGATTAATGCCCTTTTTTTTTGTCATTGTATCTAAGAAATCTTTACTTTCCTCAAGGTTCCAAAGATGCTGTTTTCTTCTAGAATTTTATAGTTTTAGTTTCTATGATAAGGTCTACGATCCATATCAGATTAATACTCGTCTCTGGTATAACATAAGGATCAAGGTTCATTTTGTTTGTGTGTGGATATCCAATTGTCTCAGCACCATTTGTTGAAAAGACTTACCTTGAATCTGTTGAAAATCAGGTGACAGATGCGTCTGGACTGTATTCTGTTTCAATGATTTGTATGTCTATCCTTATGCCTACCTACCACACTGTCCTGTAAACTGTGGTTTTATACTAAGGCTTGAAAACAGATATGTATGTGCTCCAACTTTGTGTTTTCTATGCATGTATTTCCATATAGATTTGAGTCACCTTGTCAAATTAAAATTTTTTTCTTCTGGGATTTGGGGATAACTGACAATTTTTACAATCCCAAGTCCTCTGATTCATAAGCATGAATAGCTATTTATTCAGGTTTTTAATTTCTCTTGGCAGTGATTTATAGGGTTCAGGTCTTGTACATATTTTAGGTTTATTCCTATACATTTCATGTTTTGGGATGCTGATGAGCACTATATGGTTTTATTTTTCAATTTCAATTCCCAGTTGTGCTTTTCTACTATGTAGAAAATGATTGTTACACTGACCTTGTATCCTGCAACCAGTTCCAGTAATTTTTTTTTGTAGATTCCTTAGGATTTTCTAATCGCACAATGTTGTTATTTGCCAACAGTTTCACTTCTTCCTTTCCAATTTAAATGCCTTTAAAAATAGTAGTTCACAGTGTTCATCAAATTTGAACAAATTTGAGCCATTTTATATCTTCCTAGGCCAGTGGGCGGCAAACCGCGGCTCGTGAGCCACATGCGGCTCTTTAGCCCCTTGAGTGTGGCTCTTCCACAAAATAACACCTGCGGGCGCGCACGTACAGTGTGATTGAAACTTTGTGGCCCATGCGCAGAAGTCGGTTTTCAGCCTGGACGAGTCTATTTTGAAGAAGTGGCGTTAGAAGAAGTGGGGGTACATTCACTGAGGTCGACCCCTCAGATTGAGGACGTTTTTAGCAAAGGCCAGCTTAGGAGTACCCTAATTAAGTTAATAACAATGTACCTACCTATATAGTTTAAGTTTAAAAAATTTGGCTCTCAAAAGAAATTTCAATCGTTGTACTGTTGATATTTGGCTCTGTTGACTAATGAGTTTGCCGACCACTGTCCTAGGTGCATCTCAAACTCCCGTACCCCGTTTCCCCCTTCCCCTATTGGAATGTCCTCCTCAAAATTATCTAAATTCTCCTTTGAGACAGCATGGAGGGACCTGGAGAGTATCATGCTAAGTGAATAAGTCCGTCAGAGGAAGACAAGTATCACATGATCGCACTGATATGTGGAATCTAAGTAACAAAATAAACTGATGAATGGAATGGATTCAGAGACATGGAAGCATGGAACAGAGTGAGGAATCTCAGAGGGAAGGTGGAAGAGGGTGGGTGGGTGGGTGGGAGGTAATCAACAAAGACCTTGTATGCATATATGCATGGCCCATGGACACAGACAATAGGGTGCTGAAGTTCTGGGGGGAGTCAATAGGAGGGAAAGGGGGACGAACATATGTAATACTTTCAATAATAAAGAATTATTTTTTAAAAAAAGACAAAAATTAAAATTATCTAAATTCTCTGGAGCAGGCTGGTAGAACTGCCTGGGCAATGGGCTGAGAGCCTGGATCACCACCCTCCTGGACCAGGTTCCTTTTTTTCCTCTTTGGTGCAGTCCCTAACCTTCTCCTCCGGGTGAGGATGACTCCATACCCTGAGAAGCTCATGGAGCTGGGTCTCTAGTCCTCATGTGGCCGTCCCCTGACTGTGGCCAGTAGGAAGGCCTAACAAGCAGATTGCTTCTGTTGGCCTGTGCAGAATGTCTTTTCCTATTTCTATATCTTCTCTGTGAAATGTCTATTGAAATCTTTTGCTCATTTAAAAATACCGGATTGTTGTATTATGAGTTATAAGGATTCTTTTTTTAAAAACGCAGGAGGCATTTCCCCTACTGGGGATTAAGCCGAAACCTGGGCATGTGCCCTTGACCAGAATTGAACCGGGGACCCGTCAGTCCCCAGGCAGATGCTCTATCCACTGAGCCAAACTGGCTAGGGCAAGGATTCTTTATATATAGTATTCTGGATACAAGTTCCTTATCACAATATACATTGTGAATATTTTCACTTTTTAAATGATGTCATTGGAATAACAGAAGTTTTACATTTTGATGAAGCCCCATCTGTCTCTCCTTTTCTGATTAATGCCTTTTATTGTCATTGTATCTAAGAAATCTTTGCCTTCCTCAAGGTTCCAAAGATTCTGCTTTCTAGAATGTAGTTTTAGTTTTTATGATAAGCTTTTATCAACGGAGTTCAGGTATCGTCAGAAAAGTGCTAACGTGCTGATTTGGGGTGACTCAAAATGTTTCAGGCCTGTAACTGGTTTACACTTATATCTCATAGCAACCTCATGAGGTAGGTTTTTAAATTCTCCCCATTGAGGAAACTGAGGCATAGAGAGGTTTAGTTGCCCACAACTAATAAGACCGGTGGAGCCAGAAATGTGGAATTTGAATTTCAGTACTCTGACTCCAGAACCTGCCCTTTTACCAGGTAACTGTGTGCTTTAAGGAAAAATAGGCAAGAACTATTAGGAGAAAGTGTAGGTATTTGGAGGGAAAAAAATTTTTTTTTAAAGGTGATATAATGTGGAGAACAGTGGGTTACTATTTTTCCTGTGGAATAGAGTTCTTGTTAGCCCTACGTCTGTGGACTGTCTCTATCTATCCAAACTTTTCTCCTTTGGTATCTTGACATGCCTGTCCTCTTTCCTCCATGAATGCCCTGAGAACCCTGGCTCCATGGAATCCACACAAGTTGGCCAAATCCTGAGTTTCCGCCATCCATGACCCACAAGCCAGTAAAAGTGAAACGGGGTGAAGTGACACACCTCCCCCAAAACTCTTAGGAATGCGTCTGGCGGGGAGATCCCAGCACCTGTCCCCGCGCGCAGAAGCCACCTTGGGAAATGCCGTGAGTTCCGTGTGTCCCGACTGAGAGCACTCGCTAGCGCGCGGCGCCAGGTACACGATAACGGGGCGTCTTTCCGAGCGGGAGGTGCCCCCGCGCGCGAGGCGGAAAGGCTTCCCGTGGAGCCTCGAAACCCTACTCGGGGAGCCGCTCGCGCGCTCCGGGGGTGGTGCAGGGTCCCGGGTCCTGCCTCGGACGCGCTCAACAAGCCAGGGTCGGCGCGTGCGAGTTGTCGGTCCGGTGTGCGCCTGCTCCCTCCCC